AACAAAAAATCAAAATCAAAACCACCACCAACACATATACAAAACAACAATTCCAGTCAACGAACACGAAACAGCTGATTCATGTATGAACGGCGGCACAATAGCACAGCACCAACGAAATAATAATGACGTAATAAATATCAAACCCAATGAAAGTTGTTGCTGTGCAACATCGAACAACAACACTACTGGCACAAATTTCAAAAATATACAAACAGAAACGACAACTGTGCGCAGTAGCCAGAGAAATAAAAATCATACGACAACAACGAAAACAGCAACAACAATCGAATACGAACTATCAAACGGCATAGCGAAGCTTTGCAAAATCAGTACTAGTCGCATAGCGGAAGAACCAACAAGCGATTCAGTTGAGTCAAAATCGTCGTGTGTGTGCAACGATACAAAGTTAACGCCGTTATTATCCTCAACTGACTTGGAAAATTTAAATAAAAATTTAAATACTATAAACGAATTTAATCAAAAATTAAATTCAAACGTAAATAAATCAATAAATTATCAACAACGCGCAAATTACAGCATGGATTGTAAAGAATTCTCTAAATTAAATGGCAACGACGATGAACGCGATTGCATTGGCTTACACGGCACCGCAGGTGAAAGTGATGTACCTGGTAAAATCTCAGGATTGGAGCATCTGAAGAATAAGAAATATAATAAGGTAAGTCCGATTCATAGGCCTTTAAACGGTAGAACCACTTTTGACAGTTGTGTTTTCATGCAAAAAAAAATTTCATGTGAAAAAAATAGCAAAGTTTACAATGGAAAAGTACTGAATGATGTGGCAGAATGTAGAAGAAAAAAGAACAGCTGGGGTATGTGTGTGCATGGGTTTGTGTATGCGCTAAGGGTTGTTTGTTGGTTACTATGGGCATTTCAGCACTTTTGATTGTCAAAAATTTGTACAATGGCTATGTGTATTGAGAAAAAAAAATCAAATAATCAATATAAGGATGCGACTAAGTGTTTGACAAAAGATTTCCTATAAAAATTAAATAATTTTATTTTGTGCATTAAACCCAATGGAAGTCTTATAAATTAAATTCACTCAATTAATTCTCAATTTTAATAAACAATTTTAACAATTGTTTAAATAGGATTAAATAGGATAATAGAATAATTAATATAGTCAAAATTGGAACAATGAAAAATAATATCTATCAGAGAAATTGCTCCTAAGCTTATACTAATAGCAACCCTTCGAACGCTAAGGCGTAAACTGGTTAACACTACAGGTGGCCCGGCGTACTAGGAAGACATACCTTAAGACTGGGTCTAGCCTACAGAAGAAAACTATGCTCTATCTCATGTGTCAGTGCCATGATTAATAAGGAGAAAATTTTAAATCTTATTCACCAAACAGAGTTAACATTCTGCAAAGTTAGAGACTTGGCCAAATTTATAGATTTGTCAGGTTAGTTAGCTTTTACTTGAATACGGGAGTCGTGCCTTTCAGCGTTATTCGTACGCTTACCACTGCGGTATTTACGGAAATCCTTGTGGTATATAAATACTTCTGGCGTATAAACAATGCTAATCCTAAGTACTACAATGAGCGATTATTTGTAATCAATTGGACTTTGGCATAAACCCTAATAATTAAACCTATTGTGATAATTAATCCTCACAAAATAAATATATACCTATAAACACTTAACTAACACAAGTGTTCAATATATTAGGCTCTCTAAAGTGTCATTTATTCTTTAAATGAAAGACAATTTAGTGTTAAATCAATACTTAAGTATTTTTTTTTAATTGATCTTTAATTTATTGGGTTGGTTTAGTTTGAAGTAGCTGCCTTGTGCACCAAAGCTTAATTAATCGCAAATGATAACCGGTTGTAATACTACAGACCTTATACACTTACATTTTTCCTAATAGATACTTGTACTCTAGGTTATAATTAAGCTTAATTAAGATTTTTCCTATATATGATATGGTGTTACTTTTCAAATAATTTAAATAATTTAATTTTTTAACTTATGAGGTTTCAAAGTAATATTTGTAGATACTTACAACTGCTCATAAAGGTACAATATTATTTTGTGAACTTAAAAGTCTTCCAAAACGTTGATTAATGACTTTCTGAATAATTGTCATTATATGTATAATAACCATACTTCTATTTATTGAAATGTGATGAACTTTTAACTGCACAGCAGTGATAAAAGATCTGTCTTATCGATGCCCGTAATTGCTTATAGATAACCTCACTTCAAATGCCTATTTTTAAAAGTACTTTGGACTTAACCATGTATATCAACAATCATTATAGACAGTTGATATAAACGTTGCAGCTTATTTCAATTTCAACTTATTTTACATATGTATAATATATATATATATATATGTGTGTCAACAACCATTTTCCACAAGTAAAAATATTCATAACTCTGTCCATTTAGCAAACATATGCATTTTTAATATGGCTAATAAGTAATAGAATATGATTTCTAGAGCAATTTATCCTCTCTACACTCTATTGCAAATACTTCCCAACTGGTGATATCAAAATATTTTATATGAAATATTATTTAGAAATGAGTTTTATTTATTATTAAAAACTCAGCAACATTCAGCAATTATTATAATATAGGTATTCTATCATATAACAATTGTTACAAGTCATCGTTATGATTCATTATTTTAATAATGATATGCTTGTTTTTCCATAGTTGATTTCTTCTTTTAAATAAAAATAACCCACGAATTTTTTAAGTGGTTTTAATTTATAATGAAAAGTCTCTTAGAAAATTAAAATTTAATGATTACTAATATCAATTTTAGTGACTTCAGTATATTATAATGCTTTGCATCGTTAATTGTGTGTTTTTCATCCCGGTACTTAAAGAAGTAAGATCCTGTAAGAGTGCTCTTTGACCCAAAATGACACTAACCTTTTATAAACTTAGTTATTACGGGTTATTAGACCTAAATTCTTTTGAACCCTACATTTATTTATATACAAATCTATCTATCATAAGTTGAAATGATTTCACTCGATTTTAATGATTATAGAGCATTTTTCTTGTGTTCTCATCACTATCATTAAAAGTATATATTTATTATTATAATACATATCAAATATTTAAACATTTAAAACTCCAAATAGATATATTCTCTGTCCTACATATATTTTACAAAAAAGGATACTGAAGGTTCGGTTCGTTACTTCTGGCTTACAAATGTATTTGTCTTCTAATCGGGGTCTTATAATCAGAGAGTTTGTAACAATTTGAAAAAAAAAAAATGAAGAGATGCTTTAAACAAGGCCCTCGAACTAACAGGTTTGAGAAAATGTGAATAAATTGTTAAATTTTAAATTTATTATAATAATGTTATAAGGAATCAAATTTTTTTTCTGTATATATTCTAACTATTATGTCCTAATAGTCCACATTATTTCTTCTGGGTCTGAAAAGAAAATCCTAGAGCCTTAATGAAAAGTTCTTCTGATTCATTCGTTCATTTCTTTTATTATTAACAATTTGTCGTTTATTTATATACTATAATATTAAAAATTTGTTGTGATTATGTTCTCATAATAAATAAAAGATTGTGGAAGCCTTTTCACTAAAATAGAAATTATTTTTAGTATCAAAGTGCGAAGTACAGTGCTAAAAATGTTCTCAAACAGATCTCTTTTAATAATGTATAATATATATATATTTGTGAATATATATGTAAACATTTATCCAAATATTTTATTATATTATATATGAGAAGAGAACAGTTGACTTTGAATACGTCATATTCCAAAATCGCCACTCAAACCACCCACTTTATTTGTATTTATTATGAACGCGTGTGGTTCCTTCATATATTTTAATAAATTACACAAATAAAACATGACAACACCAAATATATTGTACACTGAATCCAGTGACGATTGCTCTAAGGTGCGGAGGTGTGCGGTGAACACCCTAACATAATTTCCAAAATGTCAAATAACATTGAAATATAAATTTATTAAGTATCTTCACATCAAGAATTATTATTATTTATTACATTTCCATATATATTTTTTTAAAGTTTTAGCAAAAACAATTAAATATAATTGTCTATGAAAACTCAATCAATTTGCTTCTGTTAGCCGCTATACTTGTTAGTTGTGCTCATATATTTGCAGCTCAAATCACAGAACATTTCTATTTTATTTCGTCTCTCCCCTTTGTGTGCAAAGAAGTTGGCCACACATTCATACGTTGCATATGAACAAAATAATGTGCGTGTGCTCCCATTCGTAATATCAGAGATAGAGATTTATATAGTGGGAATTGTATGAGAGTAAATTTTTGTTGTATTCGAATATCAACTGCATGCATACGAATCCAACATGATGATTTGCCAAAGTGGTTGCGTGAGCTGCTGAAGTTTGCAGCTCATCTCAGCATACATTTCTATCACATTTCGTCTCTCCCCTTTTAACAGTAGCACCCTCTGTTCTTACTGTGCGGAGTAGTCGTGCGCACATTTGTACGTTGCAAGTGGGTTTGATTTTGTTTGATCACTGGATAAACATGTATGGTTCTGAGTTAAAACTCTTTTGTTTGAAAAAAGTTGGTTTGATATTACAAGTATGTATATGAAAAGATTTGTTTCTTCCATATTGACATAATATTAAATTTATATATAAATTATTAATTTAATTTGTTTAATATGTTCTTTTGTTAATAAATTGTTAATATAATATTGCGACTATATTATTGCCTTATATAATATAGTTATTATTAATAAAAGATCTCATATATTTTAATATAATTGGTACATGTAAAAACAACATTAAAGAAGGGCCGCACACCCTTCCAGATAGGGCACGCGTCGTCACTGACTGAATCCTATAATACACTTTAGAAAAGCTTATATTATT